TCTCTTCACAAAAAAAAAGAACGATGGCGAATGATGCGTCACATGTTTTGGAAGAAGTGTGTGTGCGAGGGGAAGTGGGATGCCGACATAGGGCAAATATCAGCCAAGAGATTTCAAAGACCCTCACACACACGGAACCAATCACAAAAGTGTCACTCAACACTCAGCCGCACATAGCTGCTTTGTAATTTTGAACTTAGTTCAGATTCTATAAAAAGAACAAGACGACAATCAGATATTTTATGCAAAATATTTTTAGAAGAACATAGAGCGAACAACTAGCAGGGATTTCCGAATTAGGTTTGAAACTTTTACACCATTTTTTTTTTTTTTTGGTTGAAAAATTTGTTATTTTTTCAAAATTAAATTTTCAAAAAAATAATAATAATTATATTAAAAATTTTGAAAAAATGTGTACTAGAATATAGAAGTAAGCAAAGACTATAGAAGTGGGGGACCGGCCATGTCATACCCTCCAACACTATAATATAGAGGATACAAATTTGGACTTTTTTAAACAAATCTTTGTAATTTTCAATTTAATGAAAAGAAGTTTGTCATTATTACATTCCTCATGCAAAGTTCCTTTTCGATTGTTATTTAATTGCAACCTCTAGAATTTTTAGTCCATTTCAATCCCTAAATATTTTGCAAACATCTTCAAAAACAATAGACTTCTATTCTGACCCTAACTCCACCTCCATGCAAAATTACGTGACCTCATCACATAGTGTTGTAGGGTATAAACAAGTAAAAAATGCAGCAAGTTTGGCCGGGCCGAACTTCAGATATCCTCCACCATTTGAAATGAATTTGGAAATTTCATTTGGCACAAATTTGGCAATTTCCAAAAAAAAAAAAAAATAAAATAAAATCCGTTAAAAATTCTGTTAAAATCTTAAAAATACCGAATGCCTATACGACGGCGTGGACCTGCATAGGCAACTTTTGTCATAAGTTATTACAATATTTAAATGCGAAACTTGAAGAAAAATCTGTTTATAATGTAGCTAAAATCATCAAAATACCGAATATAGGGGGTACTGTTATATGGGGGCTATACAAAGACGTGGACCTGCACAGACAATTATCTGGCATGGGATGAAGTATCTATTACGAACTTCACATGCGAAATTTGAAACAATTCCGGTAGATAATGTCGCTAAAATCATCAAAATACCGAATATCGGGGGGGTACGGTATATGGGGGCTATACAAAAACGTGAACCTGCACAGATAATTTTCTGTCTTAGGCTGTAGTATCCATTACGAACTTCAAATGCAAAATTCGAAACAATTCCGGTGAATAATGTCGCTATAATCATCAAAATACCGAATATCGAGAGGTACCGTTATATGGGGGCTATATGATAACTTGGACCTACATGACCCATTTACGAACTTAACCTGCCTACTGGCAAAATATACATGTGTGCAAAATTTTAGCCTTCTATCTCAATTTGTTCGAAAGATAGCGTGATTACAACAGACAGACAGACGGACAGACAGACAACCGGACAGACGGACAGACAGACACACAGACAGACACACAGACAGACAGACGGGCATGGCTAAATCGTCTTAGAATTTTACGCTGATCAAGAATATATATACTTTGTTGGGTCTGACATGAGTATTTCGAGGAGTTACAAACGGAATGACAAAATTAATATACCCTCCATAGTATGGTGGAGGGTATAAAAAAAATAAATAAATAAAAATAAATAAAAATAAAATCCGTTAAATCTTAAAAATACCGAATATAGCCTTTATTTTGGGGTCTATATGAAGACGTGGACATACTGCATGGGCAACTTTTGTCATAAACCATTATAGGAGGTGCCGTTATATCGGCGCTATACGAAGACTTGGACCTGCATAGACAATTTTCTGTCATAGGCTGTAGTACCTGCAACTACGGTGAATAATGTCCTTCAAATCGTCAAATACCGAATATAGGGATGTATCGTTATATCCTCCATATAACGATACCGTCGACTTATCTAGACAATACTCTTCCAGGGGATAAAGTACTCAGGAGGAACTTTTTTTGTGGATTTTCAGACTATTTCATTGAAAATTTTCGCTACAATAAACAAAATACCCAATATCGAGGGTATGTTGAGAGGCCATTCTGAATGGGTGATTATTGTCAAAATCGGTCAAGCCCTTCTACAGTTATAAACGTTATATGTACATATAACGGGGCTCAAATGAAAGGTCTCGAGGAGTACTTTCTGCGTATATATGCATAATATTCATCTTACTCCAAACATTTTCCCTACCGCCAACCCTACTTTGGTTAGAAAATCGGAAAGAATTCGCTTATCTGAAATCAAAGGTATATATACTCAGAGAGTACTTATCGAGATCGTTCATTTGGGCACCGCCTCTCTAACGCAGCTCTAATAGTTTTTGTGCAATTCAGCATTTTCCATGCAATTTCCCTACCACAAACCCCTCTCTGGTTATTCGTCCACGTCGGGAAATTGTGTAAATTTCCTGAAAAATTTATTTAGAAGAATTGTTTTTATACCCTCAGCCATATGGCTAGAGTTTGATACGGTCAAAACTTGCCTCATCGAAACAATGGTTTTAGACTCGAGACCTCGTGTCTGGACCAAATCCGTTTCAGGACATTTGGAGTTGATCTAGCGATGTTCGTCCGTCTGTCTGTCTGGCTGGTGCGCCTAATAACTCTCAAAGGGAGTAACCGTACCTAGTCGTTATATTATTATCAAACTTAGATAAAGTTCGGAGATGGGCATTATCGCTGCACTCCTCGTGATACCTCCCCACAAAAGGTCGAAATTTTCAAAGAAAATATTTTACAGCACAGAAAGAGAAACGATAATCCGGGTTTGCTCCAACTTTGCAAATCAAAATATTTCCATCAATGGTAGGTAAGGTGAAAATGGGCAATATCGGTTCCTCCCCCACAAAGGGTCAAAATTTTGAGTATTTATAACTCCCATGAAATTTGATGTAAGAGTCGCATTGTCTTCCATCACAATATTTTTATTAACCCAAGCTCTGTTGTGAAGATGGAATATATCGGTCCACTCCTTCTGGTACCCCCCCCCCCCCCCCCCCCACAAAGGGTTAAAATTTTTGAATATTCACGAAGCTCACACAACACGAAATTAACATCCGATTCCATTCCAACTTGGCACATCTCAATATTTCTATCAACACATGATCAGTTATAAAGGTGGTAGAGATCGGACCATTCCTTCTGGTGCCTCCCCCACATTGGGTCAAAGTTTCGAATAACCAAAACGATTATAAAATCGGAAATAAACATCCGGTTCTCTTCATGTTTCACACATCCCATTATTTCTACTAACCCAAGCTCTGGTGTGAAGATGGAATATATCGGTCCACTCCTTCTGGCACCTCCCCCAAAAAGGGTAAAAATTTTTGAATATTCACGAAGCTCATACAACACGAAATTAACATCCGATTCTATTCTAACTTTGCACATCTCAATATTTCTATCAACAAACGATCTGTTATAAAAATGATAGAGATCGGACCATTCCTTCTGGTGCCTCCCCCACAAAGGGTCAAAGTTTTGAATAACCAAAACGGTTATAAAATCGGAAATAAGCATCCGCATATCACATATCCCATTATTTCTACTAACACAAGATCTGCTGAGAAGATGGAATATATCGGTCCACTACTTCTGGTACCTCCCCCACAAAGGGTTAACATTTTTGAATATTCACGAAGCTCATACAACACGAAATTAACATCCGATTCCATTCCGACTTGGCACATCTCAAAATTTCTATCAACACATGATCTGTTATAAAGATGGTAGAGATCGGACCATACCTTCTGGTACCTCCCCCACAAAGGGTCAAAATTTTGAATATCCATGAAGCTCATAAAACGTGAAATTAACATCCGATTCCATTCAGACATGGTACATCTCAATATTTCTATCAATACAAGATCTGTTATAAGGGTGGTAGATATCGGACCATTTCTTCTGGTAACTCAACCACAAAGAGCCAAAATTTTGAGTTAGCAAAACGATCATAAAATCCGAAATAAGCATTCGGTTCCTATCAAATTTCACATATGCCATTATTTTTACTAACACCAGATCTGCTGAGAAGATGGAATATATCGGTCCATTCCTTCCGTTACCTCCTCCACAATGAGTCAAAATTTTGAATATTCATGAAGCTCATAAAACGCGAAATTAACATCCGATTCCATTCAGACTTGGCACATCACAATATTTCTATCAACACAAGATCTGTTATAAAGATGGTAGGGATCGGACTATTACTTCTGCTACCTCCCCCACAAAGGATCAACATTTTTAGTAACCAAAACGATCATAAAATCCGAAATAAGCATTCGGTTCCTATCAAATTTCACACATCCCATTATTTCTACTTACACAAGATCTGCTAAGAAGATGGAATATATCGGCGCACTCCTTCTGGTAACTTCCCCACATAGGGTTTAATATTTTGGAAAACAAAACGTTCATAAATGGCGAAATAAGCATCCAACTCTCTTTAAATTCCACACATCCAAATATTTTTGTTAAAGCAAAATCTGTCGTAAAGACGATAGATATCTGCCAACCCCTTCTGGTAGCTCATCCACAAAGGGTCACAATTTCCAATATGTAATACATCTATACATCTTGCTATATCTAAATATTTCCCCCCTTAGTCAGAAATCTGATATGAATATGCTATTAATTAAACTGGACAATATAGGCCAACTGCTTCGGAACCTTCCCCATAAAAGGATCAACTGATATCCTGGCAAAATATAAGGTATTTCTCCAAAAAATAAAGCAAATCATGTCCTTTGCTCCTAGGCTGATGGTATATTTCAAATTCCTTCTCCGAAAATTCTCCTCAATTTTTTCTGCACATTTTTTTTTTACTCTCAGCATTCAACATTTGTCAGTACTTCCCCCCTGTCCAGAAATCAAAAAGTTGTTCAAAATTTCTAGTTCAAATTCTCACCTCAACATCATATTCACCGCTTCGTTTGCACCGCCAGCCATCTTTGCCGATACAATCCGAATAATGGGCAATTAGCACAAAGTCGACAATGACCCAGACGAGTGAAGTCAGGAGAATAATGCGGCAGGTATTGGAACGCATGCGACCACGCAATAGACGTGTTAGGCCTAATGAAGACATTGTTGCTGCTGTTGTTTCTGTTGTTGTTGGTGTTCAAGAGTTGTTGTTGACAATGTTATCTGATGAGTGGTCGCTGTTGTTGTCGTTGGTGCTAAATAACTTGTAAAGGCGTTGACAAGCCGACAACGACGACGACGACAATAACGATGTTATGTTAAAAGTTCACAAAAGTCTTGGCCCTCTGGGAGAGAGGGAGGGGTGACAGAATTGGCTGGCTGGCTGGCCTGTCTAATTAGAGTGACAATGTTAATGAGGCGTTTGATGGGTTTCTGTGGGATAGGATATTCACAGCTGGTTGGTCGGTTGATTGATTGAAATATTTTCTAGTTTTCCCGGGAGGTTTGGAATTGTAGCGAAGAAATATTTTTTAGGAAGTTTTTTTTTCTAGGATTTTTTTGGATGAATTAAAAAAGGATAATATATCCTTGTTTGTTGTGGTTGATATTTTTTTGGAGTCGAATTGATTGTAGAGTTTTGCTTGATGTGTAGGAGTTTCAGGTTTTTTTTTTTATTTAGCTAGCTAGTGTAGTGTTGCCTTTTTCTTCTCCTCTTCTTCTTTTTGAGATTTTTTTCTGTTGTTGGGATGTCCTTAAAATGCTGCTGCGATGAGGAAGCCTGCTCGATGACTATATCATGTGATTATTTTGAAAGCGTTTTCTAATGTCTGCTGCTGTTCTTGATTCTGATGATGAGAAGGATGACAACGACAACAATAATGATGGTGCTGCTGCTGCTGCTGTTGTTGGTGGTGGTGCTGTTGCTGCTGACGACGATGATGTTTTATTGGCATTATCTTGAACCCAACCATCTATTTACGAGGAGGCTGTTGTTCAGGACGTTTTTTTTTTTTGCAAAAAAAAGGAAGAATTATAAAAAAGAATTATAATAAAATAAGAGTAGGAGTGCAAGAGAGCGGGCGAGAGAGAGAGGTATGTTTGTTGTAAGGTAGGATTTCAAAGTTAATGAAGCGTTTCTGTTCCTTTTGTGGTCTCTTTTTTTTGTTGTAAAGGTGGTACTTCTTCCAGGCTGCTTTTCCTCTATTCCTCTTCCTTTTGAAGTTGGCTGATATTTTTTCTGCTACTGCTATGCCATAAAAACTTGTTGGCCTTTTGCCCCGTTGTTCTGTTGGTCAATGGGCTAAGTAAACGCACACACACACACACACACACAAAAAGAAGTAAAAAATGGAAACTCAAAAAAAGCAGCTGTGGCAAAAGGGAAATTATGAATAACTAAGTGCCACAATGACTGAATGCTTGGCTGGCTGGCTGGCTTGACTTAGATTTCTGTTAACTTCTTTTTTTCCTTTTTTGTGTTTAGTTGTTGTGCTTTTCTTTTCTCCTTCTCTTCTTTGTTGTTACTTTTTTTCTATAGCTCTATGCAAATTTAATGCATATTCTTTTGATGATGATGGCGTTGTGAAAATGGGTGCCGATTTTCATTTTTTTTTCCTGGTTGTCGTGGATTTTTTTCTTTTCTTCTCTATTTACAATGGAAAAAGTTCGGGGTATCTTCTCTTTACAACATAATTCCGAGTGCTGTTCCAAATTTCATAGAAATCATGGAAGTAACTATTACTTGGCAGCAACCAATGGTGAAGTTGCAAGACCTTGAAATGTATTCACTCAAAGCAACGGCGAAAAGGTAACTGGAAAGAGAGAAAAAAAAACTAAACAATTAAAATATATTTTTTATAATTTTTTTTTTACATATTTTATAAATTATATAAATTTTTTGAATTTATTATTTTAAATATTTTTTCTAGGACCTTTAAACGTGTTTTTTTTTTCTAAAATATTTATTCAAGGTTCCACTAAAGCATTTTTTTGCATTAAAACATTTTTTCCAGAGACCACATAAGCCTGAATTTTAGAAAAAAAAAATGCCCAAGGCCTGCAGAGCCTTGATTTTTATTTTTTTTTCAGAGGGGTGAGTTTCACCTTAGTCCGAATTTGAAACTAAATTTTTTTTCTAGAGGCCAGCTTAACCATAATTAAAAAATTCAAGGCCAGCAGAATTTTAATTTTCTTAGAATATTTTCCAAGCGGCCAACAACAAATTTTTAGTGGTCTTGATTAATATAAAATAAGAAAGAACTAAAGTACTTTACAGCGTGCATTTTTGATTTTTTTTTCCAGTCCAACCTTGATTTGTTTAAATATTATTTTCCAGAGCCAAATATAGTATTAACTTAAAAAAATGATTTCAAGGCCAACAGAGCCTAGATTTCAGAGCTTAGAATTTTGTCAAAAATCGTGCATTTTCCATTTTTTTCAGAGGCATGTTTTAAACATTATTTTTTTCAGGACCAAGGAGTTGAGCCTAGATTTGTTACAGAATTATTTCAAGAAAAGTTAAGGGCACGAACATTTTAAAGAATATTTGAAAGGAGACTTCACGGCGTGGATTTTGTAAAAATATTTGTTTTTTCATGTGGGCTTGAAAGTGTGGATTTATTAGGAGTTTTTAAGGGTTAATGGTATTTTTAAGAATATTTTTAAAGATGCCAGCGTAGCCTGAATTTACAAAAAAAAACTATTTTTTTCATAGACCAATATAAGTTGATTTTTCTAAAAAAAAACAGAGCCTTAATTTATTTGAAGAAAATATTTTTTCAATATTTCGATGTCTTCAGAGTGTGGATTTTATTGAAAATACTTTTCCAGAGGCCTTCAGAGCGTAGATTTTAATGAGATCATGCATTTTTTTTAATTTTTTTTAGATTCTATATTTTTTAAAATATTTTTTGCGGAGGCAATTCTGACTTTGACTAAAAAAACGGTTTCGAGGACAGCAGAGAGTATATTGCTTTAAAAATATTTTTCTAGATACCTTCAGAGTGTGGATTTTTTTCCGAGACGAGAAAAGGTTTTTAAAGAACATCAAACAGCTTGCATTAAAAAAAAAATTTAGTGACCAGCAGAAACATTACTTTTTTTATTTTTTCAGACCCTCAGAGCGTGAGTTTTTTAAAGAAGATTTTTGTTCAGAGTCCAGCAGAGGCAAAATTTTTTAAATAATACTTTTTTAGGTGTCTTCAGAGAGTGAATTTTTATCAAATAGGACGATTTTTTAAATATTTTTTTCCAGAGGTCAGCTGAGCCTTCTTTCAGAGCGTGAATTTATATATTATATTTTTATGGACATTTTTTTAAAGGCCAGGTTAGGCTTAATTTATAGAACTTTTTCTTTCAAGTGGCCTTCTGAACGTGGATTCCTCAAGAGTATTTTTAAGGATTATAAGAGAGCAGACAAAAACCAACTTACATGGTTATGCTACTTCGTTCAGGTTGAACAAAAGCATAACAAGTGGAAAAAGATGTAAATATTTATAAGTGCGGTTGTAAGATTTAGAAGATTTTTCAAAAGAATTTTAGTTTTATTTAATTCTTTGGTTCCTCTTCTATTGAACTTACGATCTCGTCACTTGAGTAAAAAAATGTTTTTTGTCATAGAAGTTATTTTTAAAATAACTTCTGGGGAAAATATCTCAGACAAAAAACAAGGGAACTGATGAGAATTGGTGGCTCTTTCCGAAACCTAGGTATTCCCTGCCTTACACCCTGGTAAACATTACCATCGTTCCACTAATAAACAAACGTTGTTTTTATAAAAACAACAATTAATGGATTAAGCCTGACCATTTTGCAACAACAAAATACTATGATATTTCGAACAAACAAGCCAAACACTGTTCTATTAAAAGAGATATTTAATTTTTTTTGTAATCCTCGCATTAGTGATCCCTAGAGAATATATTTAAAAAATCCAAGCATTGATGTTTCCTGAAAAATATTAAAAAAAATCCAAGCTTTGATGTTCCCTGAAAATATTTAATAAAAATCCTAGCATTGATGTTCCCTTAAAAAATATCGTTTAAAAATTCCACACATTGATGTTTTAAAAAATATACATTTTTTAAAAAAATCTGTTTTTTAGAAAAAATCCACGCATTGGTGTTTCCTAAATATTTTAATATCCACACATCGATTTTCCTTAAAAAATACGCATTAATGTTCCTTGTTTTTTTTAAGCAACGCATTTATGTTCCTTAAGAAAAATATTTTATAAAAATTCACTATTTCAATGTTCCTTAAAAAATACATTTTTTAAAAAATCTACGCATTGATGTTCGTTAAAATATATTTTTTTTAAATCCTCGCATTGATGTTTGTCAAAAATTTTTTTTTTTTTTAAATCTACGCATTAATGTTCCTTAAAAAATATGTTTATAAAAAATCCACCCTCTAAATGAAAATGTACTTATTGAGGTCTACGTATCCAATGACCACAATCTTTTTGGGGTCTAATAAACGTGGATTTCGGGAACATGTAAATGCGGATTTTCGAAAAATTTTAAAAATAGCGGCCTATAAATGGGGAATTAAAAAAATATCAATTTAAAAACCGAAAAAACGCGGAAAATACATTCTTTAAAAAAACACACTCTATATATTCATAAATTCATGCAATTCATTCAGAAGTTCAAGTGAAAAAATTAAATTTGTTTTACATTTTTAAAACTTTAAATTTTGAATCGGAAATAATTTCTCAATCATTTATAAACAGTTGGCCCTTTTCTGCCCTTTTACACAAATAAATAAATAAATCAGTCAACAATCGTTGGAAAAGCAAACCCATGATTACATAAATTGCATCCATCGCCATTACGACCAACCATAACAACAACAATAGCAACAATGACAAATAACAAACAAAAAACCAAAATAAAAGACCGAAAAATAATCATTACCATGACCGAATGTCATGTCAGACATGTCATAATGGCCGAGTAGCAATTGCTTGGCAATAAATGCAGTGTGTCAGTCAAACCGGCAGTTAGTTCGTCAGTCAGACAGTCAGTCATTGAGTCGTAGTAACCGGCATTCATGCAAGCCGGCATTCATTTTCACAATATATGTGTCATTAGTTCAGCGGTTTGTAAATTTTCATTAATCATTTTTTTCGTTACTTTTTATGTTTATGTTTCTCGGCATGGCGCACAGTGGGTGGAAATGGGGGAAAAATTTAAAAAATAAATCATATCATTTTTTATAAAAATTTCAAAAAATGTTTTCTTTAAAAAAGGTTTAATAACTGTTTGTGAAAATATTTTTCCAGAAGGACTCAAGTTCTTAGACCAGATTGAGGGTTCATAAATCCTCTTCTGCTTCCGATGAAACCCCAATTATTAATGTCTCAATGTTACAATATTTTTTTTTCATTTTTCTTCCTTTTTTGATTATTTTTAGTTTGTTTTTCATTCTTCCTTTTTTAATTTTCTTCTTTTCCAAATGATCTCGATCTCCATCCACTGTGCAAGCATTGCAAAAACGATAATTTGAATCTTATTGCCATTGAATAGCCATTGTTGTTGTTATTGTCATGGAAGTTGGTCAACAAAAATTGTGTATTTACATGACAGCAACAACAACAACAAACTTACATTGTGACAACAACAATTGGTCGTTAATGATTTGTTTATTGGTGTAAACCATGCGTTAAATTGACGCCGGGTGGCGGGAGGCCAAGCACCCAAATCACAGAAGAGGAGAGAGGTCTTCTATAAACAGCCTCAAGATATAATTTTTGATTATTTAAAGACTGTTTTCAAGGGTCACTTGAGCTATAATCGTGGATTTTTAAAGAATTACTTTTTAAGGCCTCCAGGGCAATAATTTAAAGAATTAGTTTTTAAGGATCTTCAGGGCTCCGTTCGTGGATGTATTCCTCAAACGACACATGAGTTTTATTCGTCGTTTAAAAAAAGTTTAAAGGGCCTTCAGGGCTTTAATAGTGGATTTTTTAAATAATATTTTCAAGGCCTTCAGGGCCCTAATCGTGGATTGTTTAAACAATATTTTTCAAGGCCATATTATTGGATTTTTAAAGAATATTCTTCAGGGCCATAACCATGGTTTTTTTTAAAAAAATATTTTTTAAAGGTCTTCAAGGCCATAATCGTGGACTTTTTAAGGAATATTTTTCAAGGGCCTTCAGGATCATAATCGCAGATTTTTTAAAGAATATTTTTTAAGAGCGACCTGAACAATAATCGTAGATTTTTTAAAGAATATTTTTCAAGGGCCTTTAGGGCCATAATCGTGGATTTTTTAAGAATATTTTTCAAGGCCATAATCGTGGATTTTTTAAGAATATTTTTAAGGGCTTTCAGGGCCATAATCGTGGATTTTTAAGAATATTTTTGAAGGCCATAATCGTGGATTTTTTAAGGATATTTTTAAGGGCTTTCAGGGCCATAATCGTGGATTTTTAAGAATATTTTTCAAGGCCATAATCGTGGATTTTTTTAAGAATATTTTTCAAGCCCATAATCGTGGATTTTTTTAAGAATATTTTTCAAGCCCATAATCGTGGATTTTTTAAAGAATATTTTCAAGGGTCTTCAGCGTGGATTTTTTAAAGAATATTTTTCAAGGGCCTTGGGCCATATACGTGAATTTTTGAAGAACATTTTTCAAGGGCCTTCAGGGCCATAATCGTGGATTTTTTAAAGAATATTTTCAAGGGGCCTTTAGTCGCACAATCGTGGATTTTTTAAAGAATATTTTTAAGGGCGTTCAGGGCTATAATTGTGGATGTTTTAAAGAATATTTTTCAAGGTCCTTAAAGCTAATAATCGTGGAT